ATTTCTGGGTTTTACTTAGAAAACCTGGTCAGTTCACTAATTTATTGAGTTTAGATTAGTCCTCTCTTAATTGCTTGAGTAGAAAGCCAATGAAGTGATAAGGTTCGTGGCCGAGGAACCTCACCATGAATTGGTTCGTTGCATGCATTGCCAGCGCTCGTAGGTGGACTTTCAGAACCAAAGCCTGTCTATCTAGCTATCTCCTCATACTTGGGGATCTTGGGGTTTTCCAATAATTCCAGCAAGATGCTCCTTCCCCTTTCCCCTTTCCTATCATCCACTGCCACACTCTAAACAGCAACGTAGCCGACTTAAGCTAGCCGACCTTTTTGCATGTTGGCGGCGGCTTTCAGGCCTCATCCCCTACAAAGAAATCAACGCCTTACGTTGCTGATCCGGGAAGACCGCATCCCGTGAGTAGTGGTAAGAGTGCGTACCTAAATCACGGTACCAGCTGTCTTCATTAGTAGGTGACCATGGAATCAATTTGTATTCTCGCACGTCAACGCCCTCTTGGTGGATGGGCAAATCATGGTCATAGACACACGCATAGACGACCATCCTTGAGGAAAACGAGCAATCCACCGTGTTCCGGACTGCTGAACCGTCAAGTAGCCTCTTGACCTCTCTTTATCGTCTCATTCAATGCCTGAATGATGACCCTATTTGCGCTGCGGCATGCCACTAGACTTCTCTCCACCATCTTGTTGTAAATCATCATGTCTGCTCCAGGAAGCTGGCCCTTGAACCAGACATTGGTGATTTCGTCTCTCGTGGGCAGGTAAGCAACGCAGCAAGCTGCATAGATCTTTTGATTCTCTGCAGGGTTGGGATCCATGATAATGGCTGGTTGCGTCGTGTCGTCCTTGGATACCAATGCTGCCACGCCTCCTGCGACCGTGTCCACGCAATCGATGCCTGCGTCCGCGATTGCAGCCGAAGCAACGGTTATACAGCCGCTCAACACGTTCATCATGTCCCAGCCCTCCTCGTCTAGGTTATGGGGAGCGTCGCGATCTTGGTCTCCTTCAATTATGGTAATGATGATATCGACACCACTTTTCGGCCATCGGTCTGCTATTATTGCTCCTCTCAAGGCTGTCTCCAGGTGCACACCCAAGTCCCTCTCACTCGAATCTCGGATATATCCCCGTCGTGTCCTCGTCGCGAAGGGCGCATACTTGACGTGGGTCGTAAGGATGATGTGAGGAGAGAAGGGTGCTGATCGTGGGAGAGCTCGCGGTCCATGGATGGTACATGAGAGCTTCAGGCTTGTTCGGTTCGGTCCTTTTTGATTGGGGTTTTCCAATTCCAGGTATGCTGAGCCCGAGGCTGAAGGGGTCACGCCGGTCTTCAAGACTGTATGAATGTCATCGTAAGCAACGTGACGCTTCGATATATATTCCTTGAACACCCCACCACTTACATATCTTGCGAATGGAGCTGTCTTGCTTTGCAGCAGGTTTTTGGGGGGCAGAGACATACACCGGAGGTGTTGTAACGCCAACAGGCCCATTGATCCGTCTCCTGTCGGCCATGACTCCTTTTCGACGTTCAATGTACGTGGCTGGGTTGCTGAGATGGATCTCGAAAAATGCATCTTCGGTCCAAGGGTCTAGCAGCTGCCCCACCATCGACCTAAGCTCGCGCACAGGCCACTGTTGAGCAACTGTACCTCTCCAATTTTCCCAAGCTCAAATTTTCTACTTCCTCTTCACATCTCATAAAGAATCTGTGACAGCGCTCGTTTCCGACGACGCGCAACAGCGACTTGCAGGATGAGGATTGACTTTAGGGCAATCCCATACTTCGATCTGTTCTCGGGTTCTCTGCAACGCCGCGTGCTTGATTTTTGTTTCTGTCGCATGTTCATGCTGAAATTGCGCCGTCAAACCTCTACCCGGGTTGAGGATGTATCTGGTGGTGGCATTCCCCGTTACTAAGTAAGCTCAAGTCTCCCTCCGACATTGTCTGCCCTCCCCTTCCCTGCTATTGATGAATTCTTTTCCACAGTTCTTTGTGATATCTATGAGCACTAGAACAAACATGCATCACCATCTGAAGCGAAATCAGAACCCAACTGCTTGAAAACTCGGGTCGGCCATCAGGCTAACCATTCTTAGCACTACCCTACTGTGATTTACAGATTTCCCCCACTAGGGTGTTATTCCTGAGTCTGCTAGGTGAGTCGGTACGGACGCTTTTCTTTCCCTTGAACCCACCATCGTGTCAATGATGAGACTTTATATTTCAGTTCTGCTTCTGAACAAATATGAAGATACCGATATACCAAACGTCTACTCTGATATCACGATTCATGACTTCTCTGCTTGGAAACTCGAAAGTGGACTTCAAACTAATCGCCAGATAGATAACAATAACAAGTACACTCGGCAATGTCGACAGCATGGTTTCGAGGTAGGCCGTCACCCAATATCTCGCATACTCCCTCCTACATGATGAAACAAGTTTATCCATTCAACTATCTCACCGAGGCCGAGCTACCCTCCCGCACCGTAGTTTCCCTTTGGGTAATGATGATCGGTTGTGGAGTTGTCTTCGGATGTCATGCTCGCTTCAGTTGTTCTCTGCTTTCAGATGCCGTCTTGGGGTTTGGTGGCAGAGAGCCGGCTCTTGGTGAATGAGTAAACTGGTAGTCTGACCTATTCTGGTTGACATTTATGTTCCATAACGCATCTGTTCATCGAGACATCGCTGACAGCTGTTTCAGGACCTCAGAATCGACATGACGAGGAACGTGGCCCCAGCACTAAGAGCGGTAGGTGTCGTAGCTTGGGAATGTATGAGGTTTAGTCGCTGAATGTAACGCGTCCTTTTAATCGTTGCTGTATGTCATAATCTACGCGAGTCTTCTACTCGCATTTCTATAGAAATATACACAGATAATGTTACCCCCCCTTACGACTTCCTATGCATTGTGCCTGCGCCGGCTTGATGGCTCGGATACACCAAGGTATCGGCGATCACGACGTTTTCCCTTCTCCCAGCAACAAAGACGATGACTTCGGCAATATCGTCAGGGGTCAAAGGCTCGCATCCACTGATGACTCGTTAGCAAGATGAAGTCTCAGCTGGTTTGTCGTAGTACTCACGCGTAGACGGCGTCCGCCTTGGACTTATCGCCATAAAACCGAACAACAGAGAATTCCTACCAATCATTAGCCCTCTTCCATCCCACCCAATGCCGATTAGACTCACTGTCTCAACCTGGCCAGGATCGATCTCCATGACCCGAATTCGTGTGGCAATAAGCTCCTTCCTCAAGCTCTCCGAAAAGCTGCGAATCGCGGCTTTCGTCGCGCAGTAAATGCCACCACCCGGGTACGGCTCCCGCCCCGCGATAGAACCGATATTGATGACATCGCCCTTGCCGCCATCGGGACGCGCAAGGAAGATCGGTAGGATGGCCTGCGTCATGTTGATTAGGCCCGTCACGTTCGTTGCGAACATCTGGTTCATGTCCTCCTCCGCGATAGAAGGAGCGCGCGCTACGCCTTTTACCATACCGCTTGATACGGAATTTTGTTAGCACTTCGATTGATCCTGTCTTCGTGTGTAGATCATTACCATCGCCCAGTTCTTTTCCGGATGGTCGAGCCAAACCAACGCCAGATGAAAAGAAACTCACGCATTGTTCACCAGAATATCAATATTCTTCCACTCCTCAGGCAGCCCCCCAGCGAATCCCCGTACCTCCTCCGGCTTGCTAACGTCCAGCTGCACGGGCAGGATCTTAACGCCCTCACCGACCTCCTTAGTGATATCGGCCGCGATCTCCTTCAGCGTATCTATTCGCCGCGCCGTCAATATCAGTCGCAGGTCCCGCGGCGAGGTCCGCGCGAACTCGAAGGCTGTGGACCGCCCGATACCGGACGAGGCGCCCGTGATGACGATGGTCTTGCCGGAGAGGCGCTTGGCAACTGCGGATGCCATGGTGCGTCGCTGGAGGGTGGATGTAAACTTCGGGAGGGTGGATAACGGGGGTTGAGGGCGTGTTAGCTGGCGGAGTGTGTGGAAGGCTGTTCGCGGAAGGTGCATAGGGTTAAGACACAAAGAAACGTCTGCAGGTATAAGGGGAGGTTATAAGTCAGAAAACAGAAAGTCGCCGATAAAGGCTCAAATTGACTGCAGAATTGTCCATGTCCGGATTCTATCATCTCAGTGGCCGGTAGCAGGCCGAATCCCAGATGATGCCATCGGCGCTGAGCTCCATCTCATCCCCACCAGGGAGTTGCTACCCCGCCATTGCCTCGTCAAAAGGAGCACGGGTTAATGACAGAACGGGGATATGTCCGGGAATTCGGGATTTTGGGAATGGATGGAATTGGCTCGCATAGTTGACTTGAGCGTGTAAGTCGAGAGCTGTTTTAAGAAAGGAGTCCTCCGTTTCCAATTCGAGGAGTAACCAGGCCGTCTTATCATAGCCATTGCAAGAAACTCCCTAGGCAAAAAGGCCAGATTGCTCGGTATTCAAATGAATGAGGGGTTTCAACTATAGAGGTTCTGTTCACTTAAGAAGGAACAAGATCGTCTGTCGATTGATCAGAGTCTTCAGCATTCCGAATCTTCAGCATAGTTTTAAATAAGAGGGACTATATCGTACTATACTGTGACATACCGAAGCACAGGATTGGATAGTCTCGCATCACCTTGGAAATTGATTGTATGCCGCAACTGAGGAACTCATACTGTCTCTCTCTGTTTGCCTCCTAGATTTGGCAGGCCGCCATTGGCCGACCATCCGCAACTCGAACCGAGAATTCTGAAAACCATGCCGGAGAAGTCCCGCTATAAGTGGCTCGGATACGTTTCAGTTCCACGTTTACGTTAATCAAAGAAACAGATCGGAGCTGGCTCAGCTGGGTCATTTGATACAGCCGAGTTAGCGTTCAGAGAGAGAGATGTGCATCCTTGCAATTAGTCTGTCAGCTGGGTCGTATGTAATGTATGACTTATTAAGAATTTACTGTTCACCGAACGGTCACGTCGTCTAGTGGTAAGGACATCGGATTTTGACTCAAGCAGCAAATGTTCCGGGAGCCTGGGTTCGATCCCCAGCGAGACCTATACTTTTGGAAGTTGTCTCTTTTTGCAGTATGCCATCAACTAAACCATAGTTGGATTGAGTTTTGCTTGTGTGAATCAACCAGGAAGCGAGTAGAGGCACTTCGGGTAAGTACAACAGATTTTGCTAAACTCTTATGGCCAGTAGTTAGCTCTAATATATATAGCGCGAAACAAATGGTCACCAATAAACTCAAACTTACCTAATCTTAGAGATAGCCAGCAGAAACAAAGCACTACCTCGAATCTACTGCCAAACCAGCTGCCAACCACGGGCCTTGACACCGATTCCGTATAACAGCAAGGCTGGTGAACTTTTGTGCCGATGCACAATGCATTGCTGCCTCCGCTCGTTGTTCTTTAACCCTCAAGTCATCCTTTGTTCGATACGATCCACACTGCATCCATCTGGATACAGCTACTCCAAAGGTAAAAACGTAGTCAGTCCATTCTCTGTGGCGAGTCTCTAAAAATTGCTCGCAACGAGTATATCGCGCCCGCACGTGTTTCATCACCGAGTACATCAAAGTTGAAGTTTGGACTTGGTTGCCCACAGGATTCTAGCAACAGACTTAGAACCAACCTGCCAACCCATATCTGTGCGTGTTCAACTCGGTTTGCATGATTACTCGTCATCCCCAGAAAAATTGCTATTCGGCTCACGTCACGGCAAGTGTTTATGCATCTGCTTAAGTTTGCAAGCTGAAACATATCAGCGCAAGAATGTGCTTCTGTGCTGAAAAATTTAGTATTAAAACATGTTCTAACATACGAGTACTAATAGTTGCAACATCACCATATAGAGACAGGGGCACGATACTAAAAGCCCGATGCAAGTTGTTGATTTTCTTAGGACGTCTAGACAGGACAAGAGCATCAGCCCGACGGAGACCAAATGGGAATAAAAGAAAGAGTCAGCTCATAGTAGCCACAGTAGCAGAGGCTCTGCATGTTGTGTTCTTTTTGACTCTGTGGTTATTCTAGATATGGTTGGGGTACTGCATTTCAAGTATTCAACTCTGTGACTTTACCTTTCGTTGCCTTCGGTGCTCGAATCACCTTCAATAGCAATGCCCCGTCAGTATCAAGTGTCTACTTTGATAGAAACCTGATTTAAACGCTGTATACTCCACCTGAGGCGAATATCCCTGGCAAACCTCAAGGCCGAACAAAACGTGTGCTTTTTTATACCCAAGCTAAGTCGGTGCATATAGAGCGGGAGAGAGAAAGAGAGTGTAGGTGAGTTGTGAAACTAACGAAACTTCTTCGTGGGAGCCTATCAGTCGTGCTCTGAGATATTTTATACTATACATCCCTTGTATAGGTTGCTTCGCTCCAAGGTAGCGCCAGCTGGGAAGCAGACTGCGACAATTCTCCTTCTCTGCTGATTCAACATTGCCTATTCCAAAAGTTTTGATTATAGGGGAAGGCAAGAGACAAGCTTTTGCACACATAAACTTTAACAAGCTTACGTCCAATCTCTACTAAATTTAGGTTTGCATTCCCGAACCACAGCCAACCCTGGCGCAAACTTATGGTCTTCTTCAGAGTCAGATACTTATTTATGCCCTGGTTTGCCAAGGGACAGAGAAACTCAAAATAGCGTCAAGAAAAAGAAGAGACTCTGTTCATGCCACAATAATTATAAAATCGCTATGTGTGACCTCTTTCCTTCTCCAAGATTTCCCTTGTCAATCATTTCATCGAAGAGTCCGGTCATCGACATCAATATCCTCCATAACAAAATGCTGATCCTCGTGGGTCTCGCTGCCCTGATATGGTGGCTATCAGCGAAAACTGTCACCGCCGCAGACAGCATAGCGGAGATGTTCATCTACCCCGACCCCGTAGCGGCGGTGTCCTTCTACCCCGACCTCTACTTCGAAGGCGATCCTCTAATCTTCGATGCGCCACTCAACAGGTTTTGTTGTGCGTATGCCCCATGTTGTGCTAGATCTTGTATCATGATTTCTAACCGTTTGGCGATACAGTCAACCTGCCTCAATCGTGGGACAACAGGATCAGCTCACTCAAGGTTATAGGGGACCATTCTGGAAGCTGCAGGTTTTACAAGTAAGTTCCCCTGATTCCGCCTGTTTATGATGGCTAGAGCTGACCTGTGGCCCCGAACTACTAGAGACTACGACTGCGAAGGTCCTCTGGCCGATGTGTTGGCGTTTGACTCAAAGTTTCGTAACTTGTGCGAGGATGTAAGGCCTTTCAGTGGCTGCTGGAATGACGTGATTTCCTCATACGTGTGTTTCAAGAACCGTCCAATCTACGATCCTCCCGGCGGAGGAGGTGGAGGTGGAGGATCACCACCGGGTGGAGGAGTGCCTCCAGGTGGAAATCCGCCCTGACCGTCTCCACGCAATTCACTAGCTCAGAGGGATTGGTTCAACGAAGCAGCATCCGAGTACTAAATGCACTAAAGTCACTGTAATGGAAAGTCACGTTATCATCCTGATGGCTCCAGCCTCTAGCATAATCTTGCGTTACAACAGTCGCTTTCTCACAGACTCCTTTTCAGAACCACGTTTATAATAAAAGTTGGACTGTTTGACAGCCAATGTTTCTGCGACCGGTTTATTGATATGATCTAACAGTCTTATGCATTTTTCTCGTAAACAGCCGAATGAGTTGCGGCAAGGTTGCCTGATCGAGACTTTTCTAGTCTAGGTGTCCCATCAGCCTTGCCCGAGACCGGTGATATTTCTTTTTGGCATGGCCTGGCTGACCTTCCTGGTTCACGACGAATATCTGATAGCTGGGCGGAATGATAATCTGAAATGGTAATCGGCCAACTACCTCAATGAGAAGATCACGTTGCATCTGTTGGAAGGACCAAGTCCGAAGTCATTCGTCGACACCGCCATTATCATCTGTAAGTGCAGCTTAGGGGTGGGGAAACATAAGCCCGGGTGAATCCGGAAGCTAACAAGAGCCTCGAATATATGGCCGCAGTACCTGATCCCGCAAGATGTAGGTACTCATGGCTAGTCCCAAAATACTCTGGGTAGGGATACCGACATGTATGGCCTCAATATACGCTCGATAGCAACCCGTGCGATATCTTCCAATACTCGAACTGCTCTAATATCAGTCTGCATTGCTCGATAGAAGCGGTGTATTTAGAACTGAATGCACCAGCCAAAGGACTGCCGCTCAGAAGAATGTTTGTATGGACAGATTATAGGGAAATACTAGCCCTTTACGCCATGGAAAAGGGAATTGTGAAACTGTGATGGTAGTACAGCATCATTGAGCTGTCGGTATTGCTTGTATTGCTTCACTATACGATACGGTAAATCCCCCATAGACATGACTTTCATCTTGACGCTAGTCTAAACTCAATCTTCTGTGGTTATTTTATGATGTTATCAAATAACCTTTTTTTACAAGCAGAAACTGCTATAACGCATGCATTTCATTGAAAGTAGTATTCCTATTGCGCGTTACCCCTGAGCACACCAGCTCTGAGTAAGCCAACCCTGACGATATAAGGACCCAACACGTCTTCGACCGACATCCGAAAAGCCGAACTACACCGCCGGGTTGGATACGGTATAGCTAACCGACCTATAGCAAGAGACAGCATTTTCTCGTGAAAGGGGTGCGTGGCTGCATTGTTGGGCGAGCAGCACGAAGGGCGGCTGCCATTATTGGCGAGGAGCAAAGGGGAAAATCAGCCAACACTCTTCCTTCCAATGCAACGCTGACCAATGAGCTCTTGCCACTGAGAGCGTTTGCTGTTAGAATTACTGGTTCCAGGTGCTTACTACATAGTACCTTTTTATTGTGAATTTGGATAGGTTTTCTTTTGCTGCGTTGCTTTCAGAGGCACAGCCCGAAATTGTCACCAAGGAAAGGAGGGTGTGAACTTCAGCCACGAAAATCCTACAAGAATGATATTGACCAATCCTGCCACACACATTGCTTCGATCGAGATAGCAGATCATATATTTGTTGTAATGCGCAAGAGGACCACTCAAAGCCACGATCACGCCAGGTATAGTCAATCTTGGCAGGCTGGGACGAGACGATTGCTACCGATGAGGCATCAGACATCTACAACCTCGTCATCATGCCTTACTCCTCAGGCGCAATCAATATGATATCTCTCAGACGCTTTGCGTCGCTCCTTGGTAATGACGTTATGAATGTTTGGGAGATGACAGGCATGTATCGGCTGATTATGGCGTTGAACTTCCTGTAAAGGAGGACTATTTCTCGATTGCAAACTGCTCAATACTCTAATCTCAGACTTAGAAACTAAGACAACCTTTTCCATGTCTCTGAGATCCCGCTACTACTGCTGCTACCATGCGTTTCACCACGCTTATACTCCCACTCCCGCTCCTGGCCCATGCCGACTTCACCATCTGGTCCACGACCTGTGACACAGGGTTCGCGACGGACATACATTGGACAGCTCTCTCAGACAGGATTCTGATTTCCTGTGGGATGATCTTAAGAAGTCCAGGAGTTTCAATAGTGATAAAACCCCCGAAAGTTAGAGGCTGCGGAACTATGATGCTGATGGACCGGCATGAAGGGCCACTCCCCCATCAAGTTGAAGTTCGTTATTGTTACCGACTCTTCTAGTGCAAGTAGTCATCAAACCTCGTGTTTTGCTGGTTGCATTGCTCTTTATCACAACCATGCCCTTAGATTTCTTGAAACTTGATTATGGATATTATCCCGGCAGAGATTCGCTGCCTCTCAAGAGCATAAATGAGAACACTGAGCTAATATCACGCATGCTGCCTTAGGAGAGCTTCGACGCTCCAAAATGTATGTACATAGGCTAATTAGCAACCGGAAGCGAGCTCTCCTTAATACATGGTTGCTTTCCACACTTGCACGGCGCGCACCCAAATCATGAGAGGTGAATATCAACCAAGAGCGAGTCGACACGAGGGCATTCACTTCTACGTTTCGCAAGTTGCAGTGTTGATTGATAGGTTCGTCTCTGCCTTGAATTTTACCCCTATTCATCTTG